GAATCGTACGGTGTCGAATAATTTGGTGTCGAATAAATCTGTGTCGAATCGAGCGGTGTCGAATCGTACTGTGGTCAATAGAGTACCACCCGTGTCGAATAATTTGGTGTCGAATAAATTTGTGTCCAATAATTTTGTGTCCAATAATGTGGTGTCGAATCGAGCGGTGTCGAATCGTACTGTGGTCAATAGAGTATCACCCCGCCTTTGACCTGTCAACGAATATAAACAAACTAGCTCGACTCTCTCGCAGCAGGACTTCCGTGTCCACTGTAGAGAGAGATATGGAAAACGACGCGTTTACTGTTGCGTCACACCACAGCCCGACCGTATCCATGGGCCAGGACGTAACACTATTATTAAAAATTTAATGACACTACATACATGGAAAATTCTAATAATATCTGTAATTTACAAGATATTGCAGTTTTTTGTAATTTCTGCGGCATATATGGCACCAATTCTTCAATTAATATACGACTTACATCCTTTGTCAGTCTAAAACATAAAAAGCAAGTAATCATGTGTTGCAATATAAAGCTTTTGTCACTCTACTAAGAATTGTAGCTACAAAAATTTATCTATATAGTTTTTGAAATTTGTTATCAGAAAGCGAAAAAGGATCTAATGCATCTCTGAGTCTACGTGTAACACTCATAACTCGATTATGTTCAAAATCATTATCCTTTTCGTCACGAAATACTAAAAATGTTCCTATGTATATTGCCATTTCTGTTGTTAACGGACTTTCAGGACGCACTTTGATGGATAAATCTGCAGATTCATGCAGCAGTCTCTCTGCAAATTCACGCCATTGTCTGACGACGACGTGGACGTTTCTGAAAATGACATATAATTCCAAAAAAACGGACGTTACAAGACTATATTTCTGTTGCAAAAGGACGGAGAAAATAACTTTACAATTGATTAAGAGTACTAAAAGCTCAATTTTTAAATGAACCTACTTATAACTTAATCAATTTAGCCAATGTTGAGATTAGAAAATTCAAAAATGTAATTTGATTGCACTCGCGTAAATACGGCACGGAAGCCTCGCACCGCGCGCGCATTCGTTGCGCGTAACTTGGCGCGAGGCACTACCGTACTTCTTGATTATAGAAATTATTTATGACTTTTGAGTTGTATATATTTACTTGAGTTGTATGAGATAGTCAAATTGCACATAATATTGACTACTAAATCTACAAAAGATATGTGCTTCTAACAATATGAGTGTAATAAAAACACCTGTGTAGTCAAAGACGCATTATATTTAATTTATTAATCAAATAAAGTGTTCCAATTTTTTATACATTAAAACATAGACTATATTTGCAATATAAAAATACAAAAACATCAACAGTAATACATAGGTAATATGAAAATAAACGTACAACGTGATACGCATATGTTTTAAAAAATGTAACCGTATGCGCACAAAGCAGCTGGACTGTAGTTTATGTAGAATGGCCTTTCCGTGCAATGCGGTAGCCACTCACCATTTTATTCTTTCATGAAAAAGCAGCATATTTTTCATAAAAGAAAAAACTGCTTATTGGTTACCGCGTTCTTTTTGCGAGCCCCTTAAGAAAGCCGAATCACTTTACTGTGATAGTCTGTTCAATGATAGATGAGAATCTAAACGGACAAATCTTTTCTGTTTCGCGCGTATCTCCTACCAGTAAGCTTTTCACTTTACTGCTCGTAAAGTTGTCAGCGGGTGGTGCGGATAAGAGAACGATCATCGCTATCTCTTCTTTGTCCGCTTTTCTTCTACTATAGACATGAGGCTTTTCTTCTCTCATTGAACGGACTATAGTCAGTTTAAGCCCGTTCTACATTAATCGCAAAAGATAAGTCGCACGATCGCATTGTCACGAGTCGCAAAAATCGTGCGATTTGAGCATCTACATTAGTCAGAAGTTACAGCCAGTCAGCAAAGAATAGAAAACGCAAAAGTGGGGAGCTTGATACTTATTGGCTGTCGCAACATCGCAGAGACGCAAATTTTGGGTTTTGGCAAACTTCGCGATTTCTGCTTGCGACGACCTTACAGGTACTTTTTTCAGGGTGATACTCTATTGACCACAGTACGATTCGACACCGCTCGATTCGACACAGATTTATTCGACACCAAATTATTCGACACCGTACGATTCGAC